CTCCTCCCCACCCCACAGGTAGAAAAGCTGGGCCGTGCAGTGCCGGGGAGGAGACAGGGTCTCCACTGCCCCACAGCAACTGGGGCCCAACGGGCGGGGAGGCGCCTGCAGTGGGGAGGCACCACGGACCAGGCAGGTATCAAACTCTGTGAATTCCTCCCAAACCAGGTGTGCTGGGGCCGGGGGTGTTACCACGTGCCCACGCGGCCCCATCAGGCGCTGCCGCGGCTGTTGGCGGGACGGGGGGTGGTGGGCACAGACAGGGCAGCACCCCCCCTGGCACCCAGGCAGGAGGCCACCAAGTGATGGCAGCACGGGGAGCAGAGCCCGGTGGGGACACCACAGGTTGGTGACCACAGCAGTCCTGGCACCGCCCTGTCCCTCTGTCCCTGGGCGCCCCCGCCCTTAGGTGGTTTTCCGCTTCTTGGCCGATGGTCTCTCGAAGACGTCCCGCACACCCGCCGCCTTCTGCTTGAAGAACTTGGTGTTCTGGGCGCTCTCCTGGCCCCAGGCCGAGTCGAAGGAGGTGGTGTCCTGGTCCACCAGGTGTGTGTACTTGGTCCGCCCCGAGCGCCCAAAGTTCTTGACCTGAGGAGCAGAGGAGCTCATCAGTAGCCACGCAGGAGAAGGACATGGAGACCACCCCCCAAGGCAGCCTGAGTCCACCATAAGCCCCCGGCCCAAAACCCACCTGCATGACTTTGGGCAGGATGGTCTTGTTGAAGTGGTCCTCGAGGGTTGGGGCACTGAAGTCCCTCTTGTACACCTCCTCGTCCTCATCCTGTGGGACAGAGACGTGCCGGCTCAGCCCGCAGCGTTCAGCAAGCTTCCCAGGGGCACCTCTTGTCCTGGGGCACCCCCCGCACCAGGGCCCCCCGCCTGGCAGCACTCACCATGAAGAAGGCCCCGCGGTGGTAGTACTTCTGCAGGAACTTGTACTTGCCCTTCACAGCCTTGTTGGTGATGACCTTGCCGTTGGCCCGCAGCTCGGCGCGCCGCTCCTCCTCTGTCAGGTTGCGCATGCGCTCGATCTCTGCCTTCTCCTTCTCCATGCTGGGCAGGAGAGACCTCTGAGACACTGTCCCCCTGCACCTCCTGGGTGGTGCTGGCCCAACGCCGTGGGGAGGACAGGCCCCCCGAGGTGGGCAGGAGGGGCCGAGGGAGGACACTCACGCTTCCCGTTCCTCGCGGTCCCGCTTGATGCGCTTCAGCTCCCGCACCTTCCAGGCCTCGTACTCCTCCTCGTCATTCTCGTCGTCCGTGTCCAGCGCGTCCAGCGCCGCCAGCGACCGCTTGTTCTCCTCCAGCTCCTTCTTTGCCTCCTCCTCCACGATCTGCAGTGGGGCCAGGCTCAGCTCACTGTGCCCACAGCCCCCCTCCCGCCACC